TGAAAAATAATAACGGTAACTCCATTGAAATGATTCAAAACTAAAGTAACAAGCCAATTTTTTTTAAATGTAAGGACTAGAAGTAAAAAGTCGCCATAAAAATAAGTAGTAAAGTAAAATAAAAATATCAGAAAAATCTACTTGAGTACAGTAACAAAGTATTTGTACTTAGTTACTTCCAATCTCTGGGTATACACTAATAAGTTGTTCCCTTCTGGCTACGCTGAGAAAAAATGGCAATGCAAGAAGACGTCTCCCATTGGGTGCACCACCCCCTGTGTGTTTATAAGCTCCTAATTCTAAACTATGAGAAGGCTTTCATTTCTGATGTGGATTGTTGTTTCAAAAAGCTGAATCTGTTACACACTGTTCTTATAAAAATGGCCTGAAGAACACCAGAGAAGTCTGGGACTGTAAGTCATGGTGAAGAGCATTTTGACATGACAGACTTGTTGAATCATTGTTGTCTCCTCTGTACTTCTGCTCCAGCTGTAGCATAATTACAGCCTGTTGTGAGTCCATCTGCTGCTTTGCCCCTCTCACTTCCTCATCTGTGATGCCACATACCTCCTGTAGGTAGTGTTTGCTTCCTGACACCTTGTCACACAGCTATAGAGGCAGGTGGAGCAGAGGGAGTGTGTAAAGAAGGCTGTCACCGACAATGCCTGATCAGAGGGAAATAAAACACAACGATTCCCACTGCACCCCTCCCCTCCTGTCATTCTGTTCCTCCAGAGCCTGGAGGTCCCTCCTTCACCATCGGCAAGGCCATCTGGCTGCTGTGGGGCCTGGTTTTCAACAACTCTGTTCCTGTGCAGAATCCTAAAGGCACCACCAGTAAGATCATGGTGTCAGTGTGGGCCTTCTTCGCTGTCATCTTTCTGGCCTCCTACACTGCCAACCTGGCAGCCTTCATGATCCAGGAGGAGTATGTGGACCAGGTGTCGGGCTTGTCAGACAAAAAGGTGAGGGTTAAAGGTGAGGTTAGGGAAGCTTTTTGTATTACCATTTATGTAACCCTAAGCACTAATAGGCTAGTATAAGAGGGTCAGAGATTTAGTACATAGTACCACCTATAACTTGTAAAAAAGAAAACCAGATTTTTTTCCTATACATCTTTATCTTTATTGAGCATAAGTAGCTGTGTTTTAGCAATATGCTTTTGTTTTTAGCTGACTGTCTTAGAAAAAAATTAATTTTACTGTCCAAACCAAATTTATTATAATAATTTTATATCGATATAGGCACTAATCACCCTGTTTCACTCGGTGTCGCATTGCTCATCTCTAAAGAAAAGATTTTTTTGTGGAATCAATTTTTTTTTGCCTTGCTGTTCACACTTCCAAATATATGCGACTCGTATGCAATCTCCTATGTGAACTGCATTCATAAAGCTTAAGTCTCCAGCATGCGCAGCAGGACGCAATGACGCAAAAAAAAATTGGATTTGAGTCTCTTCAGTCTGCTGTGTGAGTGTAGCCTTAGAAATAGAGCAGCCTGCTTAAATTGAATAAAAAAAAAAAAGCCTAAAGATATGTTTTTAAAAGAGACACAAATTGGTCCAAAATATGTAAGAGGATTAGAACAACAACACAAGTTAGAAATTTCTAAAAGCAGCTGGAAACTACATTTTATAGTGCAGGGAGGACATTACATTGATGTGTTTGTTTCGTTTCGTACCTGTTAACTAAAATTCATAGTAGAGTTTTAAGGTGAAACAATCAAACATATTGATTTTAGTGTCATGGTCTGAAACTATTTCGCTCCAGGACCTAAACATAAATCCTTCTGCAGAAAATCCTGTAGGGTAAATAAATAATTCAATCAATAGATAAATATAGAATGTCCAGCCGTCAGTTTGTGACGATAAAATCTTGGATGTTTGAGTTATGCTGCAGTCATAACTGTTGCAGCTCATACCTTATGATGTGCCTTTATTTATAAGATTATTTTAGATTAATTTTAAGCAGTGCATGTCTCTTTAAAGACAATAATTTTTGTTTCTCTATTATGGGTAACCGCTCCATGCTGGTTATTTAAGAAAAGATTTAGTTATTGAACTAGAACGAAAATGACAACAAAATCTGCAACCTTTAAGTGTGTTAAACATCTTTCGTATTATTTTGATATGGTCATGATCAATCCCAAAATCTGAGAGTGAGCTAAAGTAATTTCGTTGCCTAAAACTTGAGCTTAACTTGAGCTTCAGGGGCCCCATTTGGTGCATTTGATTTTCCCAACTGATCCACAAAGACGTCAAGTTGCACCAAGAAATTTCACTTTATCTCTCGATTGTCCTTTTTTCAGACGTATGAAGGACTGAGTCCAATCCATTTCTCTCCTTGCATCGTTTCTAATGTTCCCTGGTGTGCAGCTTGTGCATTTCTTATTACTGATACTCTAGGCTCTATCCTTTTCCTATCTGTGCCCTAGCAGCTACAAGCTCATCCTGACAGGTTTTCCTCTCCTTCTCACAGTTCCAGAAGCCGAACGAGTTCTCGCCACCTTTCCGGTTTGGTACGGTGCCCAACGGGAGCACGGAGCGCAACATCCGCAACAACTACAGAGACATGCACGCCTACATGACCAGCTTCCACCAGAAGAATGTAGATGAGGCCCTGTACAGCCTGAAGACTGGGTGAGGAAGGGACAACGAGATGGGAGGGGGGAGGGGGGGTGCAGCGAGACAGATGGGGGATGCAGGGAAGGAGGGAGTTGAAAGGGTGTCAGCATAAATAAAGACACAGTGTTAAAGATCTGGAATGTTGAGCAGTGATGCAAAACAAAGAAAATCTGATGAAATGATGAAAAGCATGGGGGGGGGTTAGAGGAAGAATATTGGGAAGTGCGAAGCAGCAGCCAGCGGGGATGCGCATCGGCCTCACGCTGGCATCCACAACAGCAGTGGAGCTTGTGTTTGCTTTATATCGAAATCTTTGTCACTCTTTCTCTGCCTGTCTTCAAATATTTTCATCAAGCTGAAGAAATTGGGAGGCAAAGCTGTGATGTTTCACTGCTGTTGAATGGCCACAGAGGCCTGAGGTGCCCTGAGGCGCATTAGATGGTTGCAGGAGAAGCAACAGACTCTTGTGTCAATCTGTCAACTGACTCTGGGTCAATATGTAGAAGAGGCACAATTTCCCTGAAATATATTGCACTTTATAGACTGGGCAAAGGGATCTTGGCTCTTTGTGCAGCAGGATTAAAGAATTATTAGAGTTTAACAGCAGGAAAAAAGAATAAAAGACCTCTGTTTTTGAGATTTCTTTGTACAGTGTTCTTTTTATAAATTAGAATAAAACTCAGTGTGTTCTATTGGGATTTTAATGGGATAGATAATCTCATAATAAGTTTGAAGTGGAAGAAAATTAAGCCAATTTTTCAAATAGTTTTAGAAGGAAAATGAACTTGTATTAAGAACCCTTAAAGTTAACAATTTAAGGAAATTACTTTAAAATGTTATCAGAGCTGTGAGTCTTTTGGGGTATATCTCTTCTAACTTTCTCTGTAAGAGTAATAACATTCTTTTTCCAGTCCTGCCACAGGGTCTCAGCATGATTTAGGTCTGGACTGGGTCAGCCTTATTGTGCAGTCAAGCCAAATGCAATATAAGCTTCTAGTTTTTATGCAAAGTTGATGGCGAACCCGGGTCTCTGGGAGTCACAAAGGCCCTGCAGCCACTTTCTTCCATGTGGCATAGCAAAAGATTTCAAGCATCTGACAAATGCCAGAAGTGGGAGATGCAGAGTTTGGAAGTTTTGTAGCTGGACGTGGAGTATCAACCTATCCAAAAAGCTGATTTGTGAGCTGGCTGTTAGACAGTCACTGCATCCATGCCATGATGCCCGCTGCAGAACTGTCAGCATAAAACTATAAAACATTTACATGAATAAAAATAAAGGTATTATACTCCAATACTTAGTAGATGGAGAAATTAGCATGCTATGATCATTAGTGCTCCACTAAAAAGTTTTTTTCATAATTTTTTATTATTACTCTATTAATACCTCCATTAACCTAAAATGGCAAAACTTACTCACAAAAAATAGATGATAGTTGCAGTTTTTAACCACTTGCCCAGTAAGTGACTATATCGATCCTGGCAGTTTTCAAGTTATAAGCAGCGATAACTGGGAATTTTCAGTGCTTCTTACAAACTTCTTTCTCACAATGGAGAAATTCACCCTCTGCATTTAACCCATCCCCTTAGGCAGCGTCTAGGGAGCAGTGTGGGATTAAGGGCCTTGCTCAGAGACCCAGAGTGGCAGTTTGTGGGAGTGGAGCTTGAACTCAGAACCTCAGGATTCCAAGCTCTATGCCCTAACCACTATGCCACCACTCCCCCTTCATTTTGGCCACAGCTACGCTGACAAAGCCAAGCATGCCATAAACAGTTGCCACCAGGGCCTCTGACCACCATGACTGATTAAAATATTTTGTTACACCACTGGTTGAAATAAAAATGGCCTTTTGTGGTCATTGTCCTATTTCAAGTAAAGGCTGGTTTGTGCTTGATGTGCTGGTGAAGTCCTTGTAGCCAAATTTGTTTTAATACCCACACGCATTCGCAAAGTGTCTGCACAGCCTGATTCTCTGCATCGTATAGCTAGAAAAATGTGTAACTAACCAGACAGAGTTAAAAAGCCAAAGCTCCTACTGGCCAGTGTATATAAAAATCTAGAGACATCTTATGATTTGCTCCATAAATATAACCACGATAAACAGATAGTGAAAAACTTGCCAATAAATTACTGTTGCTCTTTGATGACATGAAAAGGCTTTGAAAATGTCTGGAACGGCTGTGTTTTCTACTTGTGCGTGTTGTAAGCTTCTGCTCTGTGCTGTACATGGCCCTCTAAAGTCAGCCACAATATTAGTAGCATTGAGGAAGCATATAACAGCATTCTGTATTTTTCTCTCATGGTTTCAGTTTGTATTTCTAACAATCCCATCAGCTCTTTACAGCTTTTCCAAATCCACACAGCACGATGCTGCCACCAGTTTAGGGAAATATGCAATGTTAGTTTTTCCTTTTTTTCATGTTGCCTAACTGAAGATGTCCCATTTTACCATGGTTACCTCCAGATAATACCTGCAGCTCCGCCAAACTTACCATAGTGTAATGGCTCAGAAAGTAGGATCCAGAATTCAGGCAAGACAGACAGTGGAATAGTTAAAAAGCGTTCATTCCGATAAAGACGTAACGGATCCTCAGTGGCGGCGGCTGTAGTGGTTAGGGCATCTGAGATAGGAACATGTATCATAGAGAAACAAATGTTAGTGACTGCGATAATCTGACGGAGGATGATTATGAACGCATGAGTAACTAACCTGGTTTGATAGTTCATTCCATGAAGAGAGAACAAGGACGATTCCAGGCGGTCAGCTGAAAAGACGCAGTAGACTTAGCCTGCAGAGAGTTCCAGACGCGGAAGTCTAGAAGGCTGCAGAGCTGACAGGAGATCAGAGCTGAGCTGATGAAGGAAGGCAAGATAATCCTAACGGCGAATCCAAGAGGCAGAACCAGGTTCAGTCCACAGAAGAATCCAACAAGAGTCAAAAGACAGGCCAGGCAAACAGATCAGACAGCTGCAGGCAGGCTCAAAGGTCCAAATACAGAAACGGATAAGGATCAGGCAATCAGAACATAATGGAGACGCTAGAAAACTCTCAACGCCAAAGGCTCAGGAATAATGTGGGACTGATGGCTGGGACCAAGGAGCTTAAATAGAAGCAGGAGCAGGTGGATCATATATGCAGTAATGAGGAACAGAGCAGGGCTAGACAGGTGAATGAAATGAGCAATTAAGTCAGCCATCAGCGCCAAAATTATAACACATAGGTCTCTTGGTGTGGATGGATGATTTTGGCACACAGCTCATGTGTCATACCCTCTTACTTGAGGGTGTCAATGATGGCATTCTGGACAGCAGTCAGGTCGGCAGTCTTACCCATGTTTGGGTTTTGAGTGATGAACCAGGTTGGGAGTTTTAAAGGTCTCAGAAATCTTTTGCAGTGTTTAGAGTTAATTTGTTGATTCAGATGATTAGGTGCATAGCTTGTTTAGAGCCCTTTTTCATGATATGCTATTTTTTTGAGATAGGAATTTTGGGTTTTCATGAGCTGTATGCCAAAATCATGTGTATTAAGACAATAAAAGACCTGGTTTATTTCTGTTAGTGTCCAATGAATCTAAAATATATGAATGTTCAAGTTTTATCATCACATTATGAAAAATAATGAACTTCATCACAATATTCTAATATTTTGAGAAGGATCTGTATTTCCATATTCAGCTAATTTTCACAAAGCTCTGTGAGATGTTTAAAGTTAGCAATATAGTTTTATACCTTAATTGCTTCAGACTACCTATAAAAACCTTATTTTCTTAAGTGTCTGCTGTGGATCTTGGTCTTCATTAAGTCCCCCAATAACAACCAAATTGAACACAGGTTGCTAGGAGTAACCTTGTGAATTTTAAATGAAATTTTAAATGATCTTTAATTTTAAACTATTGAATGACTGAATACTTTAAAATTTCATTAGTTGTAAGAAATCCTCATAATCAATGATAGAATTCTTCTCACTACACCATAAGAGGGATAGATCAACTAATAGTGTTAATCTATTACATGATATCCCAATAAAATACACTAAAGTTTAAAGCATTACAAAACGTGAGAAGTTAGGGACATCAATTATTTTTTTCAGAATACTGGATGTGAGTGGGTGTTCTTAGTGGAGAGGTGTGGATTTTAACTACATGAAACTGATCACCATGACAGTATCTTTACCAACACCATGACAACAGAGCAGCTTGAAATAGACAAAAAGAAAAAGAAAGACATGAACAACGTCAATCAAAAAGTGAAACTTTAGTGAATTAATCACACGGAGTGTTATTTTTCATGTTTTGTGCTGTAAAGTATATTTACATTCAATATTTGGTAATCATCAGCGCAGCATGGCAGGGATCTATGTCACCCTATAGCTCTGCTGAGGTTTTCAGATGCTGCTTTAATAGTGGCATTCAATTCATCTGCATAATTGGCTCTGGTGTCTAATTTTACTCTTAACAAAACCCCAGAGATTCTCTAGGGCTTTAGGTTCAAGTAGGTTTGCTGACCAGTCAAGAATTGGTGCTTCGGTACTGTGGCTAGGTGCCAAGGCTCGATGAAACTAGCTTCTACATGAAGCTTGTGAGCAAAAGAAGGCATGATGTACTGCAGTGTTTCATTGTGGACCAACAACTGCAGATGACTTGGCTTCTTGAACCATCAGTAACTTTGGAAACTTCACACTTTACGTCAAGCCATGTTGGTTCAGTGCCTCTTCCCTTCTTCCTCAGACACAGGATCTTGAACGTAGTGCAGAATTTACCGAAGTCTATTTCTGTTTTTTTTCATATCACAGCCAAGACACTTTTTGTGCAGGTTCTCTTATAATTTCAGTGCATCCCATTTTGTACTCATTAGTGTGGTGGTCTTTGAGGTTCTGAATTCAGCTGCTGTCCCACCAAGTGAATCTCCTTCAAACTCTTGAATTAGTTTTGCTTCACAGTCCTCTTAGTGCTGTTTTATGTACAACTTTTCTTACAACACTTTTTCCTTCCACTAAACTTTCCATCCTTGTTCTTGAAAACATTTGACTTTTGAGCTGTTGTGGCCTACCCTGCTTGTAAAGGTGTGCTGGGTAAATATCAAGTCAGCAATCTTCTGTGGGATTGTTTGGAACATATAACAGTTTAGCATGACTGAATTGAAATATCTTATATGCGGCTGAAATGTATAAACCGAAATTATAAAAACTTCTTAATTTGTCCATGCTGTCTTCCCTTCCCAAGCAAATCATTTGACAAGATACTGCACATTTGTTAAAATGGTGCTTTAGGGTCTAAACCAACTGTTTGGTGCCCTCTTTAGGTTAAAAAGGCCTACTGCTTCTGACTTTTGCTGTTGGCTCAGCTGTGGATGTGACATCACCAAGAAGCCCGGGGGGTTGCTTTCTGCAGACTCACTCCTCCCACAAACAATGGTTCACTTACAGTTCCAATATATATATACACTCACCGGCCACTTTATTAGGTACCCCATGCTAGTAACGGGTTGGACCCCCTTTTGCCTTCAGAACTGCCTCAATTCTTC